CTCCTTGAAATTCCCAAACAGATGATGTTAAAACAGTACGAAGACAGAAAATACTCCTTCAATATAAAATCCTCCAAAAACAAAAAAACACTGAAAAAAAATAATGGTGATATGTTTAATAACTCCACAGATGTTAGCTCTGCTAAAAGCTGCTGTTAAAGACATGCAAACCCTAAAGTACAAATGTGCCACTGCATTTACATCTGCTTCTGATTTAAAGAAAAGTAGCACTGGAGGGTAACAGCATGCATAGATTTTTAGTGTTCACATAGCAGGGAACATACGCTTTAAAGACTATTGAAGTGAATAAAACAGTGAAAGAATGTATTAAATTTGACCTTAAAGCATCATAACAACCTGCATGTGGCGGGAGGTCCACAGAAACAGGGGATATCGGATCTGAGCCCACAGCTAAAAGCAGCAGAATAAAAACCCAAACAAATAAAACCAGCTTTCTACTGGGAGTGTGCAGGTCATGCAAAGAGAACTGTGGGGTAACAGTAATATATTTATAAAATATACACAAGAAAAAAGCCTGTATATAAAATGTGATTAAAAAAATCTGATTATCTGCAAACATTCGGCGGACACCTGAGAAATGTGGACATTGCCGGTTTGAGTGTGAGAAAATGGAAACTTTGGTTGGTAGTGCAAAAGAAAAAAAGAAGAAAAAATTAACAAAAACCACACTAGAGGCATAATAAATGATGCAGAAGAAGAAATCAAGAAAATGATGGAAAATACAGTGTAATCCGAGCTGGGTAGTGGCATTCTTTGCTTTCATCTGTTAAATAATTACATGTTTTAACAGTAAACCCTGAAATTAATAAAGTGTCTCACTAAAGTAGACATACGTTGTAAACTGCTTTATGTTTTGTACTTTTACATACACTAATTTGTGTATTTTAACAGGACAGCAGAAAGTGACAAACAACTGCAAAGTAGAAAACTTGAATGTTTTTTTAACATTATTTTACAAATAAATTAAAATCATGACGTTTTTATCCTAGCAGCCTCTAAATAAATACTTTGCAGAATGAAAATATACAATAAGTGTCATTGCAGTTGTGTTAAAAGGTGAACTATCTCATGAATTCTCTGCATTAAGCTCAATTCAGATTTCCATCTTTACATTTATCCATATATAGGACACCTAAACAACAATGTTTACTCATTGAGAAGAGTTTTTTTCCCCTTGGGTCTGCCACAGATCACAGTTTGAATGTAAACTAATAAAAATAATATGAAATATTCACAGCACTTTCTCCTAAATGTTTGCAAGGTTAAAAAAGCATTGGTGAATTTTTAAGAAATTATTTCAAGGGTTTCTCTCCAAGTAAATTTACTTGCATGGAAATTCATCCAGAGACATAGAATAGAGGCAGCTCAATGCAAATGCATGCCACACCTTCAGGTATTCATATTTAAAAAATAAGTCAAAACTTAGAATTTTGTTTTGTGTCATTGTGCTATAATTTAGGTTTATCATATAAATTTGAATAAAATACATTTAAAATTGACGCCGTAACATTTTAGCCTCGTGAGACCATCCTGATCTCGCGAGCTTTCAAGGTTTCACTCGCTAATCAGTCTGGAGACTCTCCGTTAAAGAAAATTTGGAGCCGTTCACCAAACGAACGTCCAATCAGCGTTGGCTTTGAGGCGGGTTGAGGTGTGACGCAACGAGAAGCGCGACAGTTCAGTCTAAAGAACATGGCGGCTTCAGCCGATGAAACTAGCGTTAGCGTGGCTATCGAGCAAGTTTTATGGGAATTACAGAGTATTTCTTCACTGAAAGAAGAGCAAAACACTGCTCTGGAGGCTTTTCTCAGAGGAAAAGATGTTTTTGCTCTTCTCCCGACTGGTTTCAGCAAGAGTAGCCTGGCTTGTGGTTCTGTTTTCGTCGTCGCTCTGTTAGTACGTCATATGCTTCGTTGATCTGATTGGTTTATTTGGCCCGTCTATCACCAACATAGGCCAATCAGCTAACCAGTATTTTCGCCCCTTCCCTAAATTACTTCAACGGAAGGTTTCCAGATGGATATGCGGAGCAAATCCATCTGGCAGAGTCAGATTAGTGACATTTAGGGGGTGCAAATACTTTTGCAAGGTCGCATAAACTCTTCATTTTAGCATGCCTGACCAAATCCGGCTAACAAAAAAATCAGGATTTACTTCTCAAGTTCCCTAAAGTCTGCAGCGTCTTAACAAAACGCATTTAAACAGCAGGTCAGGCAAAGCTGCACTTTTACAGCTCAGGTCTGATTTGTTAATAGATGTTGGAGATCGGCCTGTTTTCCAGTGTGGTCCTGTTTCTCTGATCGTGACTGAGTGGATGTGCTCTCTTCGTCCTCTGGCATGGGAGCTGCCTTGGAGCTCGTCTGCCTGGCTGTGTGTTTCCTGGACGGGGCCGCCTTTTACAGCTGCTTTTTGTATCTCTGCTTCTGTCTCCTTGAACCCCAGTCGGCCTCGGCAGATGGCCGCTCACACTGAGCCTGGTTCTGCTGGAGGTTTCTTCCTGTTAAAAGGGAGTTTTTCCTCTCCACTGTCGCTACAAGCATGCTTAGTGTGGGGGATTGTATTTGAGTCAATGAGTCAATGCAATCAACTGGTTTTCCTTAGATAGAAAACTTTGTATCAATTTGACTGTATGATCTGGTTGAACTGTAAAGTGCCTTGAGATGACATGTGTTGTGAATTTGGCGCTATATAAATAAACTGAATTGAATTGAATTAGGCAGCTGAGGCTGCGGTGGACTGCGTGCTCTTTGAAGCACTGGAACAGTAGTGTGTATTTCATGTTCAGTAAGCGAGGAACAGCATACAGACACAAACTCAACATCCAAGCCACAGTTATTTCCAAGATATCAGAGTTTCAACCACACTTCGTGGCTTGCAATGAAAAACAGACTGCGGGGAGATGAACGGAAGAGCAGATTTCTGGATCCTGCATTGCATTATTCACAAGGAGAGTCCAGTTACGACATGTGTGCTGTCACCGAGAAGGTACTGTGGTGTAACTCACATCCAAACCAAACTCTACTAGTTCAAGGCTCTTACAGCAACAAAAAACACTTCCTAAATAAAAGTTAAAACACAATCAGCTGGGCTTTGTTTCCAAGTTTGAAGACGTTTCTCTTCCATCCAGGAAGCTTTTTTCAATTCAAGATGTCAGAAATAGAGTTGAGTTCCAGGTTTGATCCAGCTGCCTAACAAAGTCTTGTTTTGGTTTAGAAAACATGCAAATAGAAACGGACGAACGGGTTTTGGAAGGGATGGGCCCGTTGTTCTGTCAGATCAGCATACCCCATCAGACCAGCATACCCATAGTCAACACGCATGCAGATTTGCATATGTCTGACACTACAAGTGGAAGGAAATCTACTAGGCTACTTTATTAATGCTTGATATGATAAACAACAAGTTTTAGTTGAAGGTAAAACACAAACTTACCAGAAAGAACGAAAGTCGTAGGTAAACAGAAAGCGAGGCCGTCTTTAACTAGCCTGGGTGCCATTCCGAACTTAATCCCGCCCACAACGATTGAGGTCGGGAAGTTCGGTCTGGCATTGCTCAATAGTAGCGCGATATCTGGCGGGCCAATCAAATTGTCAGGGCGGGCTTTATACGATGATGGACAGATGATCAACAGTAACGTAATCAACCACGTGACCAAAGCGCGCTTGGGTGACAACAACAATGGCTGCCGCTGGAGAGTTGAGGCGTGTAGATTCTGCTATTAGGTCTGTTCTAGAAGATATCGACAGCAAATTAATTTTAAAAGAGGAACAGAGAAACGCGATCAAGGCTCATCTTCTTATTCTAGGCGTGCAACTGCACGCTTTGATTTTTGTTGACAACAACTATGCGTCGCTTAACATACGTCACGCACTCCGTTGCTCTTATTGGTTGTAGGTCTATCCAATTGAGTGCAGAGGCATTTTTTTTCCTGGTTCGTTCGAAACACGCCCCATAATCACAGCTCTATGGAGCAGCATCAGACTCATTCTGACTAGAATTGAGTAGGACGACGTCAGGCTAGTCTTTAACAGGATGGGAAGAGAAACGTCTTGGAAACAAAGTCCAATGGGTTTTTTTTTTTTTTACTTTTTTGGAATGATTTTGACCTGGATGACTGAGAATCTTTACCAGCATACTTCCTAAATAAAAAGAAAAATTAAAAAAGTACAAAATGGATGAGAGTGGCCACACATGATGCTGATGTTGTTACACCGTAGGCACAATCAAGCTTTGCTAAGTTTGCATTTTCTCAACTCAACACGGTCAAACTAGAAGCACAGAGATAAACATACGACTCGCTCACATAAACCAGGCAGCAGCACAAGGAGTTCGTCTATCAAAAAGGTAGAAAACGGTGTCACCATGCACTTTATACATTTGTTCATCAAAGTCACAGAATGGATGTAAACACCCTTCACAACAAGTGATCTGAAACAAGTTCTCTTCCTTACAGTTCATGAAGTGCCTCTGAATGTCAGGGAACATGCTTTAACAGTGATATACAGTTATTTTATAAGAGCAGTGTCACTTTTTTTGTTGTTTTTTTTTGGTAGCCACATCACCAGAATCACTCGGCAACAGGTAAACGTCAAGTGCCACACATATGGATCTCTGCTGAAGGCGACGATAGAGAGAAGGAAACACGCTGCCATGCTGTCAAAGCAAAGTGCTAGCTGCCACACAGAGAGAGAGAGGCTGCAGGGCTTGGGGCTGAGAGTGAGCAAGGGTGATCTGCATAGTAAACATTACAATTGCAAAGGTTTTCCCCAGTGAAGCCATGACAGGGCACAGATCCAAGGGCAACCGGCTGGATTGAGCTGGGTGACGGATTATAGAGAGGAGAGGAGAAAACAACAAGGGAAGAGGATCTCAACTGGATGTCTTTGGTGTAGAGAATCTATCAGCAGTGCAAAGCTAGACCCTCGAAGCTGAAATATGTAAATAAGCAGTGTGGGGGGGGGGGGGGGGGGGGGGGGGGGGGGGGGGCAGGTTGTGCCTGTGAGCTGAGTGATGAGCTGTGGACACATCGGAGGAAGCTCAGGCTAAGGCCACTCATGGTGATAACGTCTCCCGTTTTTCTTTCGCTCTGTCTGGAGATGTTCTAGTTCTGCTTCGTACATCATCTCCTGCATCAGGTACTTCTCCCTCCTCATGCAATCACATAGGTCCTTCGGCATGTCCGGAATGAGGTACGCTATGAAGGACTTGATGCCAAACACCAGGTGCTGTAAAAGGTATAAGAAATGATTTATACACTGAGAAACCTTAAAGTGTTTCTGCAAACTTTTGTTGTGTTTAAAGGTAGAAACAAATGGTGCTTTGCAATAGTAATCCCACTAGAGAGCTTGTTTCACACTTGCCTGATTTAGCACCTTAAAATTGAAATCATTCTATTGTGGTCTATTCAATTCTATTCAGTTTATTTCTATAGCTCCAATTCACATCATGTCATCTCAGGTCACTTTCCAGTTCACCAGATCATCCAGTCAGATTGATTCAACGTTTTCTATCTAAGGAAAACCAGCTGATTGCATCGACTCATTGACTCTTCAGCAATCCCTCACACTAAGCATGCTTGTAGCAACAGTGGAGAGGAAAAACTGGTTCAACTGGTTTTCCCTAGAAAACTTTGAATCAATTTGACTGGATGATCTGGTGAATTGTAAAGTGCATTGAGATGACATGTGTTGTGAATTGGCGCAATGTACGTACATAAACTGAATTTAATTGAACATGACCTGAAACACCTCAAGGTGAAACATTATGGTGGAAACATCATGCAAAGTGGGATGGAGCACCTTCAAGCAGATAGTGATGTTAAAATAGCCAAGTTAAAGTAAAGATATAAATCAAACTGATGATTCAGGGCAAAACTGGACACTTTCCATGACATCAGATGAGCTTAGGCAGTTTTGCAAAGATTTATTGTAACGTTTTTAGTCTCTAGATGCACAAAATTGGTAGTGAATACTAATCCTGTAATCTATTCATTCATTGGGGGCTTAAAACAAACACAAGGCATACTTTCTTGTCTTTCCATTTGCAAACAAAACCCCCCAACATGTAAAATTTCCTTTCACTTTTAGAGTTGATGCACTATTTCGTTTTGGTCTAATGCAGAACATTTTGGGGTTGCATCATGAAGAAATGTCCAAAAGTTCAATGGGTCAGACTTTTTGACACACCTATTGAGTTCACTAGTTTATAAAGCATCAGATATATGATAAACTTCATGGATATGATCTAATAAAGCAATAAAAAGTCACCTAAAGCAGGACTCTGATGTTTTTAATTTAATAACAGCATAAAAAGACATCTAAAGCTGCTAAAAAATATTAAAGTCATATGCTGTGAGGGGATTTGGCTTTAGCTGCTTGGCTTTAATACGGATACATGCAGAGAAAAGCGGGGAGACGGACCTCAAAGACGATGATGAATGCCAGCCTGGCAGCCAACACATGCCAGAACTGCAGGGTGAACTCGTAGGGCACCAAGCTCCAGGGCGGCGCTCTGTAGTCTCTGTACCTGCAGTATCTGACCTGGCTGTTGTTTTTCAGCTCCCACATGTCAAACACAGACAGGCTGCTGTTCATGTAGCCTCGCAGGCACCTGAGAGGACGGCAGGAAACCATCACATCTCACCTTCTGCACCCGCAGGTATATTTAAGCTGGGAACACTGAATAATGCTTACTCATCTGCATGGTGGGGCCCCTTGTCCACACAGGGGCCGTATTTGAAGGCGTAAACAAAGCGGGGGATGTAGTCCGAGGTTATAGCGATGACGAAGGCATTGGTGATGACTGCCAGGACGCCGATGCCTTCTAGAATCCCATGCCAGATACCTGTGGAAAATAAACTTCTTCTAGAACTTTATTCATCATAAAAAGAAGCTGCAAAGGTTAAAAACTTTAATGAGGGAGAATGAATCATATTATTTCAGCCGTCTGTTTCGTTCTTATTAGTGCAACAGTAATTAGTTTTAGCTAAAGGGGAACAAAAACATAAATATGACCTGGCTGAGCTTTCCCTGGGCTGCTTTGTCTCTTTTGCAGTTAATGTGGTTTCCAACTGAGCTCTAAGCAAACCCTTTATCCTCTCTTTGCACAAAATGCTGCATTGCATAATAACTGAAAAAACATTGAATAAAGAAATAAGGCATGTCTGTGTTAAATTAGGGTCAGACTTTCAGTAAATGTGCTTTTAAACATTAATTAATTCTGGATACACTTTGCTGGTTATACACTGGAAAAAACATCTAAAAATAAGTAAAAATGTCTTAAATTAAGTGTATTTATCCTTAATTTGAGTAGGTAAATTAGATAGTTCGCCAATGGAATGAGTATTTTTACTCTTAATATAAGATAATTAGATAATATGCACTTGAAATAAAACAATTTAATTGTGTTTTCTTATTTTAAATCTAAATTGTCTTGTTCCATTGGCAAAATGTCTCTTTTACCTCCTCAATTCAAGAACAAATGCACTTATTTAAAGAAAAAATTACTTTTCTAGATTTTGATTTTTTCCAGTGCAAAAGAGTCAAAATTTCTTAAATAAAGTGTATTTATCCTGAATTTGAGTAGGTAAATGAGATCGTTTGCCAATGGAATGAATATTTTTACTTAGATAATTAGATAATATGCACTTTAAATAAGACAATGCAATTGTGTTTTCTTATTTTAAGTGTAAATTATCTTGCTCCTTTATCTAAATGTCTCTTTTACTTCCTCAATCCGAGAACAAATGCACATATTTTAAGAAAAAATTACTTTTTGATTTTTCTCCAGTGTAGCAGGGGGATCTGTTTGTTGCAGATCTCACACTGCAAAAAATAGAAATCTAAGTAAGTTTATTTTTCTTTAAAAAAAAGAGCATTTCTTTCTTGAATGAAGCAGCTAAGTGATACACTTTGCCAATGGAATAAGGCAATTTACATCTGAAATAAGAAATAACAATTGCATTGTCTTATTCCAAGTGGATATTATCTAATTATCTTATTTTAAGAGTAAAAATACTCATTCCATTGGCAAATCTTATCATTTACTTGCTTGAAATATGCTAAATACACAAATTTTAAGACATTTTTACTCGTTTCCAGATCGTTTTTGCAGTGCAGTGGAGCAGAGGAGGGATGGCGTTTTTAATCTTACACTGCAAAAACAATCTAGAAATAAGTAAAAATGTCTTAAATTAAGTGTATTTACCCTTAATTTAAGCGCGTAAATAAGATGATCTGCCAATGGAATGAGCATTTTTACTCTTAAAATAAGATAATTAGATAAAATGCACTGGAAATAAGGCAATGCATTTGTTTTTTTCTTATCTTAAATGTAAATTGTCTTGTTCCATTGGCAAAGTTTCTCACTTACCTCCTAAATTCAAGAACAAATGCACTTAATTTAAGGAAAATTGACTTATCTACATTTAGATTTTTTTCCAGTGTAAGGGGAAGAGAGAGCTGGTGGGGTGGAAGGAGCAGCATATGGCTGCACAGAGGGGACAGGATGTAGAGATGTGTCCATCTCCATACGTTTGACTGCTTCTGGTAACGTCAAAAAATTCCTCTTTTCATTGATTGATTCAAAAGGTTTTTTTCTATTTTGTTTTGTCTATTTTTTTTTTGCATTTTAATGTGTTAAAAAAAACATCTTTAGGATGCGGTATTGTGAGGTTTTGTTGTTGGCAAAACAGGTTGAAGGGACTAAAGCTAAGAGGACATGAATTGAGGACAGCAGTAGAGGATGTAGAATATAGAATATGGGAGAGGAGGTTTTGTCTCTAACCCCAAAATAGCTTAGAGTCTTAAAGTAAGAGAGCGAGGCAGTAACCTATATCTGTTGCCCGCGCCGGCATGGGCCTCCTCCACTGAGTGACGAACTTGTAGGCATCCAGGCGAATCTCGATGATGTTGTTTAGCAGAGCAAGGAGAGGAGCCAGAGGGAAAGCTGCGACAAAAATGGTGGTGAACCCAAACTGGAGAACTGCAACAGAAAAGAAGTGTTTGTTCTTTAATGGCTCATTGGTTTTATAGCCTTTCAGTTTTTACATTATCCTAAAGATTTTAGCATGAAAAACGCTGTTGAAGATTCTCAGTGATCCAGGTCATTATTTTTTAACATTTTTGGAATTTAGCATAAAACATTCAACTTAAAATATTTCTGCAGAGGTTATGTTTTACCATTTTCTTTTTTCTTTTTTGGCTTCTTGAATTGGTTTAATTCATCAATTTGAATCTGGTCCTTAAAGGCAGAGTTTGTGATCTCAGATTATTTTTTTTCCACAATAAAAAAGATAGAAATATTTGTTTCAGCGCTCCATTCTCAGCATGTGACCCACAGCTCAAATTTTAATTATCATTTAAACATCAGAGAAATTCACAGTATTTAGATTTTTGAATAAATAGGCAATAAGCAGCAGGTGTTCAGTCAGTTTACATTAAATTTTATAAAGGGTTGTAAAGCAAATGGGTATCAACAAAATAAAGAAGTCCATAATTTCCCTTTGCGATTAATTACATTTTCTGATTCTAATTGATCAAGGAAAAAAAATCAGCTTTATTTCTTTTTTTTCACAAATTGAATTGGAAATGTTTCCATAATTGTTTTGTTTTCCATGAGAAGAGCGGTGCAACGTTTTACCCATTTCCAGATATTCATCCACCAGGCCGTGTGCATTCACTGGCTGCAGATTCCAGTCTTTGTCCCACTGTGGCAGCTGAGTTTTATTCTCCACATTCTGGCCTCCGCCGCCTCCTTTCTTCATTTTCCTGCGAGACCACCAGTTTTGCAGCAAGCTGAGGATGCAGGAAGCAGCGTGTCATCCCAAAGTAATTATTTATACATCTTCATTATTCTATCTCTATTCTCCCACTCTGCAGAATCTGTTAGTTCAATCTCTAACGTTCTGCTCTCTCTGCTTTTTCTCATAGTAGCTTCATCTGGTCTGTTCCTGTTTGGCTGTGACTCCATCCTGGAGAGAAATATCAGCTGTGCTGCTGCCATCAACACCTTTGTTTCTAGATGTTGGAGCTTGGCCTGTTTTCCAGTGTAGTCCTGTTTCTCTGACTGTGACTAACTGGATGTGCTCTCTTCATCCTCTGACATGGGAGCTGGCTCGGAGCTCGTCTGCCTGCACTGGACAAAAATCGAAATCTAGAAAAGTCCTTTTTTCTTAAAATAAGTGCATTTGTTCTTGGATTGAGGAGGTAAAAGAGAAATTTTGCCAATGGAACAAGATAATTTACACTTAAAATAAGAAAATACAAAATATTGTATCTATGCTTCTTTTTCTATGTCTGCTTCTGTCTCCTTGAACCCCAGTGGGCCTCAGCAGATGGCCGCTCACACTGAGCCTGGTTCTGCTGGAGGTTTCTTCCTGTTCAAAGGGAGTTTTTCCTCTCCACTGTCGCTACAAGCATGCTTAGTGTGAGGGATTGCTGAAGAGTCAATGAGTCGATGCAATCAGCTGGTTTTCCTTAGATATTAAACTTTGAATCAATCTGACTGGATGATCTGGTGAACTGGAAAGTGACCTGAGATGACATGATGTGAATTGGAGCTATAGAAATACACTGAATAGAATTTAATTTCTGACTATGGAGGCTTTAAAAAACAGATTTGATGTTCATCTTTTTCTCCACATGTCAAAGATTAAAAAGACAAAAAATAATGGAGTTAATGCATAAATTGGGCTGGTAGTTTAAATCATTTTCGTGTATTTTGAATGCAAACAAAGTGTGCAGTTGTAATGATGTTTTACATACGGATATCCAAGCTCCATGAAGTTGTTCCAGATCTGTTTGAAGAACATGATGACTCCCATTTGCAGGCACAGATCAATCAAACAGCCGCTGGGGTGACACTTGAGAAACAAATAACAGTTCATGATAAACTGTGACGTCTATATTCTCAAACATTGTAATTCAACGTTATGAGCTAATCCTTAGACACAGACTGCCTCCCGTTCTTATTTCTGATCATTAGAGTTGAACATCTGAGTTCTTCTGGGGCAGGAAAAATGGTTTCCCACAGAAACAAGTGGGCGGATCATTACAAAGACGATTCACCTCCTGAATATTTCCTAACGCAGAGAGTGATGATCAGCTCAGTCATTTCGAAAAATAATCGCAGCAGCACTCACCTCCTCCAGCCTCCATCGATTGAAGAGTTTGTTGTAGTTTCCAGGCCTGCCGGCAAACCTGAACACATTGAGGAGAGGAAAATAATGCTGATGGCGTCATGGTAGACTTAAAATTACCAGTGGCGGTTCTAGACCAAATGTTCCACGGGGCCAGAAGGGGGCCAGCATGTTTTCATTGGGGCCCAGAAAAGCACGAAATAAAAAACAGGGCAAGGATTTAAATATATGAAGAGAGCTGCATGATGGGAAATTTCTTTTCAATTAGGTTCAATAAAAATTCTATGTCTTATAAGGTTAATATACATAATGGCCGCGGGAAGTGGGGGTGCTAGGGGTGAAAAATAAGTAAGAAATACTTTCCACAATTTATACATTTCTTATGAATATTTCTGGAAACTTTATTGACATTTCATTATTTTGAGGCCTAATCATAACAAGTTCTCAAATTCTTCTTTGTGATTTAATAATCTAGTAATTAATTAATTGTTAACTGAAGTTTAGAGACTGTAAAATATGCACTGCAAAAATTATCTAAAAATTAGTAAAAATGTCTTAAATTGAGGGTATTTACCCTCAATTTGAGCAGCCAATGGAATGAGTATTTTTATTTTTAAAATAAGATAATTAGATTATATGGACTTAAAATAAGACAATGCAATATTTTTTTTCGTATTTTAAATGTAAGTTGTCTTGTTCCATTGACAAAGTCTCTCACATCCTTAATTATTTTAAGAAAAAATGACTTATTTAGTTTTTTGCAGTGTGTGTTTAGGTGACAGATCAACAACCATTGAGCAGCAATTATACCAAAATTGTAAACATAATGTATTTAAGATAAAAAAAAAAGCTTTTCATCTGTCAATATGCTCTGTCCAGAACTCCTCAAGCAGAATCGTTTTAGTTTCACTTGGTTTCCCCGTCCACACGAAGTCAAAACGAACACGAAACGCTGATATTTTCCAAAACGTTTGCCGTAAAGACGGAGACGTAAAATAAATGTGAGCGTCCACACGAATGCATGAAAACGCTGCAAAATGTATGCCAGGCCTGTAAGTGGCGCTGTGGTGCCAAAGCAAAAATAAGCGAAATGTTGGGCATGCGCACTAATATTTATACATGGTTGCCCTGCGGGTCTATTTTCGTGGTTAAGTCAAATTCAGGTGCTGAACTATGTGGTCGATATTGCTCTGTTCTTCCTGGAGATATTCCAGAAGAAGATTCTGTTGTAAGCCCGACCAGCCCGACAGCAGGGTGAGTAGCATTAGCAGCAACGGCGCCATTGTTGTTGTGATGTGTCGCGCTTGCGTGTTTAGAGGCGACGCTATGACGCATGCGTGTAAAAAAAAAAATGCGGTTAGGGTGTAAAGATGGAAATGCGAATACGCCGTTTCAGAATCTTCCCACTCTGAAGGGTGAATAAAAAAAAGATCGTTTACAGACCCCCGAAACGCCGGCTTGGTGTGGATGAGAGGCTGGTTTGGTGAAAAATTTGTGCGTTTAGGCCAGGGTTCGTCTTCGTGTGGACGGGGCTTAATCTAATTAAAAAGTCTTCTTCAAGGAACCGACAGCTTAATTAATTTGCAAAATAATGGTTAGTTTCAGCCCTAGAACTGATGGTGTCTGTGTGTTACAGACCCTGGTTGCACTGAAGTGTATATGACAATAAAGTAATGAAACATAAACTATCTATTTATTTTGATTGTATTTTGAATAGGCCTCTAGGCTCACAGGTGTTTTCTCCAACAAAAGTTTCACAGCCCTCCCAGTTTAAAATCACTTCCAGCGGCCCTGATATACATTCATAATTTAGGAATTTTAAATATTTTTGACTTTCTATATTATCTTTACTTCTATAAAATCTGAATTAGAGCTTTTTTTTTTCTTTTGAAAAAAAAAACATTTAGCAAATGTAACCTGGGATCTTATCTCAATACCACTGAAGCTATCACCTTATTGTTTAAAAATAAAAAATAGTAAAACAGAATTTGTAAAGAAAAACAATGAAATAGATCCAAAGGTCCAATGCAGAACATCATTAGAACTTAGTATTATGTGTTGAACTAGATCTGCTATATTGAGAACTTTTGTGAGACACTTTTTTATAAAGTAGGGCATTAATTCATAAAAAGGTTTATTTGAATTCTATAAATCAAAGTTTTCTGCCCAACAGCAATGATGATCTGCACGGCAGCATTCTATACCCAGATATTGTAGCATCTAGGATAGAGCTGCAGGCTGGGAAAGAATCTGGATGTTATTCCAAAATGTAAAAGTTAACCTTTTTTTGTAAAATAAAACTAGACTAAATCCTTTTTAGTTTTATTAGACTAAAACCGAATAAAACTATCACATATCGTAATGACTAAAAAGTGACTAAGACTAAAAATAGTTTTCGTCCTGGAGACTACATCTAAGATGGCTGTCAAAAACTACAGTTTTTAAGAAGAAGGAAAAAAAAGAAGAAGAGAAGAAAAAAAATAAAAAAAGGGAAAAAAAGGAAAAAAAGAAGGAAAAAAAGAGAAAAAAACAACAGTTTTTGCCAATTTTTCCACACTGACGATTTTTATTAACTTTCTGCAGTTCTGAATAAATACCCAAAAGGTCTCAAAAGTTTGACAATCCACTGGAAAACAGATGAATCTCCAATTCAGCAACCAGTGCTGCAAACATGTGATTAAAGTTAAGCAAGATTTGCTGAAACAAAGAAAACCTCCCACTGAGATTCATCCTGTCCCATTAAATTAGCATTGCCAATTGACTTCCTTGTGTTTTTTCCAACCCTACTTAATGTCATACATGTGACTCTTAAGCTTGTGTTCAATTTTAACTATCCAGTGACTTTAAAAACTGGCCAAAAAAGCTGATAACTAAAAATGTTTATATCATTTTGTGTGTGAGGATTTTATGTAATCTTTAATAAAAGTTAATCAAATTACGATACAAATTACAGGGATATGAGGTTGTAAAAAAAGTCATCATCCTAGTGTTTAAAGTTCACAGCAGATACCTTCCAAGAAAGAAAGCGATGTAAAACGTGGAGCTGTTCAAATTCACAAACTGGAAGAGAAACATCTTCAGAGCAAAGCTGTTCTCCCACTCAGACTCCGTGCGTGGGTGCTCTAAACAAGAGGAACAAGGGTCAGGAGGGGAAAAAGTTTTAAAGGGGAAACACTAAGCAGAAAGATAGGAAAAAAATATTATAATAAAGACTTAAGAGTAAAAACAACTGACCTAGGTTGGTTAACAGGTAGGCCACCTTTTCATAAACCTGGAAAAATGGAGGCAACTCATGAGGGACGACAAGAAGGCAGAAAAATCTTCCAACCGGCTAACATGAGACATTTTATTGGACAGAATGCAAAAACAGACGCCGCTCGTCCAGACACCCACCACATTGAGAGACATGATAATCATAAAGTTGATGCAGACGCCAGTGCCAGACGTGGCAAACTGCCAGTTCTTCTGGACAAAGTCCCAGTTAAAGGAGGCGAACTTCTCCATCGCAATGAGACGGAAAACCACCACGGCAAAAACCGCCGTCAGAACCAGGGAAATCTAAGATATGATGGGGGGGGCAAGAATAATGTTCTTAAAGAGGCAAACGAAGGCAACAACGTGAGAAAAGAAAAAGCATATTTAAAAAAAGTATCAGAGCTCATCATAGTCTGAACAATAACAACTGTGGATAAAACAGATGTTGATGTGACAGAAGTACGGTGGCCGGGAGGTGCAAACCAACATTACAAAATCTAAAAAACTTTTGCAAAACAAAATATCATTTCAGAAAACAAATTTAAATGAAAAAAAAATTTAATAAAAATAAACCAAACACTTTTAAAAATTCTAAACAAATAGCATTTTAAGAAAACAAATAAAAAACATTCGAAACACTTACAAGTGATAATTAATGATCATTTGTTTTGGAACTTGTAAATGTTTTTTTTTTAAATGTAAATTTATTTGGAACTTGTAAATGTTTTTTTTTTAATGTAAATTTATTTGGAACTTGTAAATGTTTTTTTAAATATAAATTTATTTGGAACTTGTAAATGTTTTTTTAAATATAAATTTATTTGGAACTTGTAAATGTTTTTTTAAATATAAATTTATTTGGAACTTGTAAATGTTTTTTTTTTTATGTAAATTTATTTGGAACTTGTAAATGTTTTTTTAAATATAAATTTATTTGGAACTTGTAAATGTTTTTTTAAATATAAATTTATTTGGAACTTGTAAATGTTTTTTTTTTTATGTAAATTTATTTGGAACTTGTAAATGTTTTTTTAAATATAAATTTATTTGGAACTTGTAAATGTTTTTTTTTTTTATGTAAATTTATTTGGAACTTGTAAATGTTTTTTTAAATATAAATTTATTTGGAACTTGTAAATGTTTTTTTAAATATAAATTTATTTGGAACTTGTAAATGTTTTTTTTAAATGTAAATTTGTTTTCTGAAATGATCATTTGTTTTGGAACTTGTAAAAGACCTTGTATTGTTGGTTTGCACCTCCAGGGCCACCGTACATAAGGAATGGAGATATTAATGTAATTCAATTCTATGCTTTGTCCAGCAGGTGGAGGTATTATACTTTTACTAATATCATGTAAAAGGTGACCTGAGATCCCAAACAGGCTGATTACACAGAGATCAAAGGGCTTACCATAAAGAATATCCCAGACACAGAAACCATGAGACGACTGAGTTTGTCTGAGAAGGGCTGGAAGGGCTCGGGTTTTCCAGAAATGGGGTTGACTCTCTCCACCCGGGAGTATTTGGCTTCAAACTGAGGCCTCAGCTCCTCCTGATAAACCATCACATAATAACATCAAATCCAGTAAACTGGTTTAAAATAAACATTTAATGGTATTATAACAATACTTATAACCATACCTCTTCCTCTTCCCAGTCGATAAGATCCCAGTCATACGTCAGCTCTGCCCTCCTCCTTTTCCAAAACTCAAGGAACACCGTTGCTGCAGAGGCAATGGGGAATTTATCACGTTATTGATCTGCTCTGATATGAAGCAGACAGCAGGACTGTGTGCAAATGGGGATTTACAGAAGAGGCAGTTCAAGGCCAACAGCCCATCATCAGACATCCTGAGTAAAATACAGGCTGCGGAGATGTGCAAGGCCGATTATGGAAACTGATTACAGTCATCCGTCTGACGCTGCGTTGCCTCTGTGCAGAAGTTAAGAAAAATGGCAGCAGTATAAAAGCTTTAGTCGCTCAGTGTTCGACCCAAGCATGTATTTCATTTTATAGGGTAAAGCTTTGATATGAAAGCTTTCAGACTGGAGGCTTTTCTCTTTTGTGTCGGGCTCTTTTGTGACTGGAGCTTCACACTCTAGAAACAATGCTCTTTGTCTTTGTGGGTTTTTCCACAGTCCCAAAAAAAGCTTTCATAAAAGCTTGGTGACAGAAACACTGCATGGTTTCCTGTATTCTCAGACCTAAATTCATCTCCTGCAATTTTTCTAATGTTCTCACTGTGAAGAAGTCCAACTGCCTCCCTAGACTGGATAGAAAGCATCTTCTAACTCAATTTTCAGGTCTTGTAATTTAATTTAAATTCAGTTTATTTCTATAGCTCCAATTCACATCATGTCATCTCAGGTCACTTTCCAGTTCACCAGATCATCCAGTCAGATTGATTCAAAGCTTTCTATCTAAGGAAAACCAGCTGATTGCATCGACTCATTGACTCTTCAGCAATCCCTCACACTAAGCATGCTTGTAGCGACAGTGGAGAGGCAAAACTCCCTTTGAACAGGAAGAAACCTCCAGCAGAACCAGGCTCAGTGTAGGAGTAAGGTTTTACGCTCACAGCTGCGATAATTTAACAGCCAGTTATCGGTCACATCATTAAATCAAATGCCGTGTGTCCCCTGGCCCTGCCAGAATTACATAAAGGAAAAATACAAATTTGAGTGAGCGTGGAGCGATTTCACTGTAGCGGCTGGAAAATTAAGGTGAGCGCAGAGCGGATTTTGAGCCGAGCGTCCTAGCACAACTTTGAGCAGCCAAGCGAATAAGCGAACATCCTCCTGAGCAGGGAGCGGGAATTGCGCGGCACTCCGCTCAGTTCACATGCTCTGGACCATATATGGTTCCATATACCTTCCCATAAACCCTGATGAAGGTCCCTCATCCCCCATGATGCCGGCACCGCCGTGTTTCACCAAGGCAATGGTGTACTTAGACTGAGTTCTTAAGAGGTTTCCCTGCTTCAGCAAAGCCGATTCTGAAGATTGCATTTGAGCAAAAGCCTTTTAATCAGCAATCAATGGAAATCAGCTGTGCTGGAGGAAGGAAACCTCTAAAACCTGCAGGACAGCGGCCCTCTGAGGCCCGATTTTTGGGCAGGCCTGGTAGGCATGTGCAATGTTACTCAAAAATCCCACATCCTCCGTAACCGCTCCGCCCCGCTACGTTCCAGACCGCCTGCGCAAAAAGACCTCAGGAGAGCAGGCAGTGATATTATTTGTTAATTCATAGGATCACAATAAGAGGAAATTATTCTGATTTCAACCGTTGCGTATATTAGCTTCGACATATGAATCAAGATGCTATGACCGAAAAAATTAGATTGACAGATGAGCGTTGATATATGGCTGAATTTAGGTGTTCAGGCTGACAGAGAACTAACTGGCCTGCAGAAGATAACAGAAAAAACAGATTTCAAGACAGAATTTTTTTTTTAAGAAATTTTCTAACTTTTGGGACATTATTGTGTGATAAAGATTACATTTATATGCATGTTTAAGCCAGAATGATTTGACATTTAAATATGATTTCCCTACGACTTTAAAAGGTTGGTTTTTCTTTCTTAACATAGATGGCTTCCTTCACGCCCCTCTCAAACCACCTGTCTTCTTTGTCCAAAATGTGAACATTCTGGTCCTCCAAAGAATGTTCTTTGTCCATCAGGTGTAGATGTACCACAGAGTCTTGTCCAGAGGAGGGCGCTCTTCTGTGTTGGGCCATGCATCTGTGGAGAGGTTGTTTGGTTTCTCCAATATAAAGATCAGAGCATTCCTCGCTGCATTGAGCTGCAGACACTCTGCTCAGATTAGGTCTGCAGGTTTGGTCTTAAGGATGAACTAGTCTCTGTTTGCTTGGTTTGAAATTTAGTTCTCATTGATGAACATGACCGTGCAAGTTCTCCGCAGGACGTACATGTGCGGACAACGAAGGAGAATGTGGGACTCTTGGTTTTCGTTCACACAATCACTGCATATATATATATATTAGGGCTGTCAGTTTTAAAGCGTTATTAACGCATTAACTGCTTTAGACTATAATGCCGACAGTTTTTTTAACGCACGTTAATCGCGCATCAAAACAAACGCACCGTGCGCTTTTGTTCTTTATTTTTCCGCAGCGCTCGCTGTACTGTTTGTTTTACCCTCAGCGCTTTCCGTAGCTTCAGGAACGCTAAGTTTTGGGAGAAACCGCAGCATAACAGACCCGTACTTTGAATGAGCAAAAATGGCCGGCAGACAAGGTATCCTGAATGATACGTTTCATTTTAAAGTTATCCCAGAAGGCTGTCTTGACAAAACCTGAGTCCTATGTCCAGAAGAAACGAGCGTCTCACTGGCTTAGTGCCAACAAGACAAAGAAATAAACTAAGTCATGTGGAATGCGCTGCTGCTGCAATTCCTGTTCAGACCAAAGGAATATTAAAGCATTTTGAAAATGTTCTACATGTAAAATGTTAAGTTGTTGAGATGACTGCAAAGTCCAGTTATTGTAAATTCGTTTGATTTATTTATTATTTTGTGAGTAACTTCATTTTATTTGAATTAAGTCTGAATTTCATAACGGAATGTGCACTTTATTTTAACAGTACATCTTTATTTTTGTCCTATGTTTGAGAAAAAACTAAATTTTATGGAGTTTTTGAAGTACTGTTTACTGTTCTGTAGTTTTGTAATTTTTTTTTACAATTTTTGAATAATTATTGGCCGGAATTTAAACCAGGATATTTTTATTCTAGTTTTTGAAAAGTGCTTTAAAAAATAATAATTAAAAAAACTTATTGTATAAGCAAGTTTTTTTTACATTATTGCACATTAGCATTTTTTAAAATACCCAAATAAAATAAAAAGATAAAATATGCGATTAATTTGCGATTAATCTTGAGTTAACTGTTGATATTATGCGATTAATCGCGATTAAAATTTTTAATAGTTTGACAGCACTAATATATATATATATACACATGTGGAAGTAAGCATGAAAAAAATTATTTTTATGAAATCTGAACTGAAATAGTTAAACAATATTTTACAATATGTGCATCGCATACATTTCTGCTATACATATATATATTTTTAGCAGATATCTATTTGTTCTCCATTGGCTCCACAGACATATTTATTTAAATGAAAACCACTTCGTATCAAAATTTCCATAAATAGCCTCATCATCTTATTTTCTTTTTGCCTATATTTAAATGTAAGCAAAAATCAATATTAAAAAATGTGCAGGTATAAGCATTAAATATTGACATGCTTCTATATTTTCTATCTGTATAATTAATTTGTGTCTTAATTTATTATTTGAACTAATTGGTCACAATGGATGACTAAATATAACGTATGCATTCGCAGCGTAACTGACCTGTGGCCTTAAAAAGCTGCAGAATTGGACTCTTTAGGAAAACTTTGCTGTTAGACTAAAGCTGTATATGTTTAATAGAGCATGACCTAGTTCTGTTTATAGAAGGAGAGAGGAAAGCTTTATTTTAGAAACCTGCACTCAGTCCTGTAAGCTCACCAAATGCTTCATGTTGACCTCACAAATGCATATATAGTAGAACTGAAGTGCACGGCTACTTTGCTCTAGGTAGCAAAGAGAGTTTGAGCAGGATCTAGAGATAACCCATCTTCTCCTGCAGCTTGTTTCCACTGGCATGATGATTTTTTCTTTTTACAATGTTGGTAGAAAGATTAGATTCTGCACACTGTTTCTTACAGACTGTGTAATAAAGATACAGCTCTGGGAAAAGGAAACTACAACAGAATAGTATCCCCTTGCAGTTCTGCAACCCTGCAGTAAAAGGATAACCTTCCTCTAACGATACAGCTAAATATACAACTAATTACATCAGGACGCTGCAGACAGTCAGTCAGGGAGAGCTGACCGTGATTTAGCCTCAAACTAACACATTAAAGAGAGAAGCTCTTCTGTATTTCCACAGGTAGAGTGTTTACCGTGATGAAATTCCCAGATGAAAAAGTTAATGTGTTTGGGAGGAAAGCTGAAATCTGAGAGCTGCAGAAATACAAGTGAGAGGAAATTGAATCAGAACAACAAACTTACCCCAAATAGCCATGAAGATAGCAAAGAACACAGTGCCGCCGTTGTCAAACAGACGCGTTACCTGCAAATAAAAACACACACAAGTGAAATCTGACTTTTGGACGATGCTAGTTTAAGCAGGTTTAGTTTGAACCCCATCTGACAATCTGTGATTTACCACAGATTTCCTGCAGTGGAGTTAAGCTTTGTGTAAAATCATTATGCAGGGCTACCTAAAAGTTTGGACAGCAAGTTCCCGTCTAAAGCGTAATTACAGAGCTGAAGAAATAAGCTGATTAGTTTTAAATGAATACTGGGAGATATAAAAATGCTTCCTAAAGAAATTTACATCCATTTTTTATGAACCTTTTACTTGCAATTTGGTACTACTATATTTTACTGTTTTTTTTTATTCAGACTTTATTTTAGATGTTTTATAAGGTGGTAAAACATCCCACTTTTAAAGGAAAAGTTCAGCCTAATTCAGAAAACAAACTTCTGAAAGTTCTTTAAATGTGAAATTATTACATCATGTTCAATAAATGATCAGTGTTTTTAATTCAGAGTAATTTTCTTTTACTGTGCTTTACTTCAGTTTCAGCTCTTCTAAAAAAAGCCATGTGTCAAAACAAATAGAAAGATATTTAAAAACAAAGCTAATTTATTTTCTTTGTAGAAATGTTGCTCTAAAATGTGCTTCCGATATTGAATTTTCTCAGATTTTCAGATTTGTGGGTATTCTGTTAAAGGAAAAGTCGCTCATATTCAGATTCAAACATCTAAAATGACTTTAAATCTGAAATGATTCCATCCTGTTCAATAAATGATCAGTGTTTTTAATTCAGAGTAATTTTCATGTGAATGTTCTTTACTGGAGGCATCCATGTTTGTCAAAGAACACTACTGCCACCTACTGGTTAGTGACGTCATGGTGCGGTATCGGCTGTTGATCAAGTCCCAGTGCTGTATCTGGTGTTTGTCACAACGCGCTATTATCCAAGTCATCTTGAAAACATTCTTCTTCCAAATGTTGGCTACATATTACGGGTTTTTTCTCTGGCCAGAAGTTCGATGTTAAATCCTCCCTCTTCAGCAGTGTTGTATAAAGTACTGAAATCTCGGAGTCCAGTAAAAGTATAAGTACCTCTCCAAAATATGACTTTGGTAAAAGTCCAAGTCACTGACTGAAATGTTACTTGAGTAAAAGTCTTAAAGTATCTAAAACGGCTTGTACTAAAGTATAAGAATTACTGTAAAAATAGATGTACTCAAGTAATGTAGTGCAAAGTATAAGTAAAAAGTAGCAGTTTGAATGATATTTTTTTACATTTTGGTAAACTTTGAAGGTTAAATTCACTTAAAATAATATAAACAACCAAGTGCAGGATAAATTTAGACTGGCTTTGCGAAACAGGCGTATCCTATTGGTGTTGATGACTTTGTAGTCAGTAGGGGGGGGGGTCAAAACACCTGCGTTTCTCTCCCTCTTTTTTTGTTTTTTTTGTTTTACTTAGTAACTAAACCAAACATTGAAAATGTATCGGAGTAAAAGTATGCAATTAAGTTCGTAAATGTAGTGTAAAGTAAAAGTGAAAGTTCTCAAAAAAATGTATACTATTAGAAAGTATAAAGTACTCCAATTATACTTAAGTACAGAAGTGAAGTATTTTTACTTCTTTACTATACAACACTGCGCTTCAAGTTGGCGATCCAACGACCAACCCGTGCGTGGAGGATCAGGAATCGGAAAGGTGGAATAACTCTTTTTTTTCACTTTTACCCGATGTATTCCAGCATCCAGCTGCCATGCACGTGGGCATTGTCAGTTTCACTATAGCTCTGGTGAATTTCAATGGTGAAGTCCTCTGGAAATCTTCAATAATTGTTGTTGATTGCAGATGTGTCTAGTAGTTCCCATTGATTTAGCTTGTAAAGCGGGGAGAATGGCGCTAGGCTTACCGCACCGTGACGTCACTGCTGGAAGATGGCAGGAGGGAGGGGCTACTAGATTTGGGCAAAAATGGCCGCTCCCAGACTCAGTGAATTTTATTGATTAAAGCTAAAGTGATTAAATCACTGTGAATGTATTCGTTTTAGGTATAGATAATGATCCACTTATCCCCAGTGGGGTCTACAGGGGCCTATCTACAGCTGTTTACGGACAAGAGGCGGGGTCCACCCTGGACAGGTCTCCAGTCCATCGCAGTCAATGCAGAGACAAACAACCATTCACTCACACCTAAGGGGGATTTAGAGAAGCCAATTAATCTAACAGGACTGTGGGAGGAAGCCGGAGCACCTGGAGAGAACCCATGCTTGCACAGGGAAAACATGCAGCACCATGCAGAAAGACCTCGGGCCGGGAATTTCTGCAAGGCAGCAGTGCTACCCACTGCCCCACTGAGCAGCCCCTTTTTCCTTTAAACTAAATAAGCTTTTTTGAATAACTGGAAGCAGAGCAATGGATAGACAGGCTATCAACATTTTACACAACACCCCTTGGCCAACAGGACAGCACTCAGCCTAGTCCTTAATATTTTACAGGAGTGCAGCACTGAGAGAGAGAGATGTTCTCTGTAGACTGTTCATAGCATTGGACCCTTTATTGAATCATATCATATTTTATGCCTAGTGAACCGTTTCTCTGTCTGTCCGCCTGCTGGAAAGAGTGATGACCTCTTGTTTGTTCACAGTCAAGGCTCTTCAATCAAAGATTTGTATGTAACTTTCATCACAGATCCACAACCCCACTGAGCAGTGGGGATGAGGTGCCTTCTGAATGTTCATTGTGTGTTTTACAACCAACCAACCAGCATTCTGCATTCCTATTAAATCAAAATACCTTGACATGCGTCCTATCTATGTTTGATGTTGCCACAGAGCGCAGGCTGAAAATATGGAAAATCTGAAAAATTAGACTTTAGGGATGGAAGGATGGACAGATGGATGAATTTTTAAGCAAAACGGTAGAATATAAAGTTTGAAAATGAAAATGTTTTTTAATGTTTTCTCTTTCCAGGTTGCACTGAAGAGCTGTTGTTGCGCTGCAGCAACAAGGTAATGGGTTTGAATCCCAGTCTGGAGTATTCCATTTTTCCTCTTCTTTTTTTAAGGTCTTCCTGTGTGGAGTTTGCATGCTCTCCACATGTTTGCATACATGGATGGCCTCCAGGTGCTTTCTTTCCATACTCCAAAGACTAAATTGAAGGATTACTTGGTGTTTAGAAAAGGCTCCTTAGATCTATGTTATTATGCATGGTTGTTTGTTCTTTGTGTTTCCATGTGATGGACTGACTGCTTGCTAAATGACTGGAGATAGGTGCCACCTCCCCTAAGCAGCTTTGCATGAATACATTGGTAGAGAAAATGTCTGACCAAAGTCTGATCAAAGCCTTGCAAATTCATGTTATTTCACAATTTAGCCAAATCCAAATTTTTGATGGAAGGGCAGAGAAAGCCCAATTCAAACTATTCTCAAAAAGGTTGGCAACTGGAGTTTCTGAGATATTTTGGCTTCCTTTACCATCCTGTTCATGTTAGGAATCCAGTTTGTGTGGGTTGTGTTTTTGTGTTGTTCTCTCCCTCCACCACCAGGTGGTGCCCTCTTCTCGTTGGTCCTCCCACACACCTGTGGCTGGTTGGCTCATTACTGAGGACTATTTGAGCGGTGGACTGTCACTACCTGACGCCAGAGTGTTTGCTAGTTTTGGTTACTCTAGCCAAGCTGAGTTTAGCTGAGTCTAGCTTAGTCTTTGTTTTCGCTGAGCCTAACCTTGTTTTTTGTTTTTGTCTTTGCCTTTTCGGCAGGAAGCCATCCTGCAAGCTGGATGTTGGCCTTCTTCCCCTGGAAGGATTGTTTGAGTCTCACACTGAGCAGGGGGTTAACCTCCACATGTTCCGTTCAAGTCCTCCTGGATTTCCAAGTGACAGTCCGCTCAATAGCTCCTCAGGATCCAACCAAGTCTAAACCTGTCCGTCCTCCAACGAGTCTCTTACTGGATTCTGGAAAGAAAGTTTTCTCCCCTAACGTGAGTCCCATTTTCTCTGTCTCTCCAGCCATCACTCAAAGTTCCTACGGATCTTGAACTAACCGCTGATTCTTCCCTTCCCTCTTGCAGTTCCGGTTCACTAGCACACTGAGTTTCCTGAATCCAACCCCCGCTGACATTATCAATAAACCTGTTAAAACTCTTACACTGGTTCTCTGAGTGGTTTACTGCATGTGGGTCAGATCTCTTAAGAAAATCATGACAGTTCACTGCATTTGGAAGCAAAGTAAAGTGTCCGGTGGCCAAAAGAAACCAGAATCTGTGTAAATAAGATTCAATATTTTGAATTTTGTACATTATTTTTGTTCTCCGACTAGATGTCCTTAAAGATTTTTCACATATTTCAGCATTAGATTTGCCAACTCTAATGTAAGAGTTAGTCTTATTAAACATTTTGTATATGAGTTGTTAAGAAATACACAAGAAGTAGAAGAAATGCCGAGGATAATGTCACTAATAGCCAGTGGCGGCCGGCCCATAGGGGGCGCTGTGGCACCGCCCCCCCTGATAAGAAGAGAGAAACGTAAAATATATTTTTAGAAATTAACTCATAAATGTCAGTTTTACTCTCTAGACTGTGTACCTATAAGCAAAACAAATTATATAAACTACATTTCCCTATCTACTGTCATTAATTTGTGGATTTCCACAGACAGACTCCTACCGTCTCTGTTCTGGGGGCGCTGATCAGACTGACCCACATTTGCAGAGAATCTGTCAATCATGTATTATTGCTAGGTGAACTTAATGGCCAATCAGCGTCTCAGAACTTTATGGTCTTGGGGCTCTGAAAATACTGCGCTTTAACAGGCTTCTGAACCCAAGCGCAGGTGCAGACAATTAGAGGGAAGATGGCGAATGTAACGACCGAGATGCAGCTTCCACCAAATTCGGTGAGATCCTTATTTATCTACCCGTTTGCCAGAAGAACATCCCTGTTGTAGGATATGAACATTTCATGTCATGGTTATTGTGACTGTGACGAATCCACCTCGTCGCTTAAAACAACCTCTCTAACTTTGCGCGCCACACACACATTCCTGTTATACTGTGCTTGTGAGGACCAATACACTCGCGCTGAGCCCAGTAGCTCCATGAACTTAAAACACACAAGCTGTTCCTGGTTACCTGCTGGCGTATTGAGGGGGCACACTTAATATTTCAGTGGGGTTAGCCGTGTGTGTGTGTGTGCGTGTGGGTGTGTGGGGGGTGTGGGTGTGTACGTGTTTATGCTACGGGGACTTGTCATCTTCAGTCTGGCTGCGTCTTTGCTGCGTTCAAACCCAGTTTGGTGTAATTGAATAAGTCAATGAATCTGTGTAAAAGAATTAAGTTGTAAAAATTATTTGTTTTTGTACATCAATTGTTTGTGGAGGTAATATATGGACAAAACTGATTCATGAGAAGAAATCAGAAATAAGAGAGCCTGAGGTGAGTGGCTTAAACTATTTAATGAGGGCTGTGGGAAGAAGAGCGGCAATTTTTGTTTTCTGTTTCTTTGTTACATTGCTGGTAACTGGAGGGAGGCTGAGGCCCAGAGGATCTTGTACAGGTGCTGGTCATAAAATTAGAATATCATGAAAAAGTAGATTGATTTCAGTAATTCCATTTAAAAAGTGAAACTTGTATATTATATTCATACATTACATACAAACTCATATATTTCAGATGTTTATTTTGTTTAATTTTGATGATTACAAATGACAACAAATGAAAATCTCAAATTCATCATATCAGAAAATTAGAATATTGTGAAAAGGTTCAAAATTGATGGCCCCTGGTGCCACACTCTAATCAGCTAATTAACTCAAACCACCTGCAAAAGCCTTTAAATGGTCTTTCAGTCTAGTTCTATAGGCTACACAATCATGGGGAAGACTGCTGACTTGACAGTTGTCCAAAAGACGACCATCGACACCTTGCACAAGGAGGGCAAGACACAAAAGGTCATCGCTAAAGAGGCTGGCTGTTCACAGAGCTCAGTGTCCAAGCACATTAATAGAGAGGCGAAGGGAAGGAAAAGATGTGGTCGAAAAAAGTGTACAAGCAAGAGAGATAACCGCACCCTGGAGAGGATTGTGAAACAAAACCCATTCAAAAATGTGGGGGAGATTCACAAAGAGTGGACTGCAGCTGGAGTGAGTGCTTCAAGAACCACCACACACAGACGTATGAAAGACATGGGTTTCTGCTGTCGCATTCCTTGTGTCAAGCCACTCTTGAACCACAGACAGCGTCAGAAGCGTCTTGCCTGGGCTAAAGAGAAACAGGACTGGACTGCTGGTGAGTGGTCCAAAGTCATGTTCTCTGATGAAAGTAAATTTTGCATTTCCTTTGGAAATCAAGGTCCCAGAGTCTGGAGGAAAAGAAGAGAGGCACTTCATCCACGTTGCTTGAAGTCCAGTGTAAAGTTTCCACAGTCAGTGATGGTTTGGGGTGCCATGTCATCTGCTGGTGTTGGTCCATTGTGTTTTCTGAGGTCCAGGGTCAACGCAGCCACATACCAGGAAGTTTTAGGCACTTCATGCTTCCTGCAGCTGACCAACTTTTTGGAGATGCAGATTTCATTTTCCAACAGGACTTGGCACCTGCACACAGTGCCAAAGCTACCAGTACCTGGTTGAAGGACCATGGTATCCCTGTTCTTAATTGGCCAGCAAACTCTCCTGACCTTAACCCCATAGAAAATCTATGGGGTATTGTGAAGAAGAAGATGCAATACACCAGACCCAACAATTCAGAAGAGCTAAAAGCCACTATTAGAGCAACCTGGGCTATCATAACACCTGAGCAGTGCCACAGACTGATCGACTCCATGCCACGCCGCATTGCTGCAGTAATACAGGCCAAAGGAGGCCCAACTAAATACTGAGTGCTGTACATGCTCATACTTTTCATGTTCATACTTTTCAGTTGGCCAACATTTCTATAAATCCTTTGTTTTTATTGGTCTTCAGTAATATTCTAATTTTCTGATATGATGAATTTGAGATTTTCATTTGTTGTCATTTGTAATCATCAAAATTAAACAAAATAAACATCTGAAATATATGAGTTTGTATGTAATGTATGAATATAATATACAAGTTTCACTTTTTAAATGGAATTACTGAAATTAATCTACTTTTTCATGATATTCTAATTTTATGACCAGCACCTGTATATGTTTAGTTTCTTTTGCACCCTGTTTTGAGTTTTTGAGCACAATAAATCACCAACACCGGTAACCCGACTGAGCCTGGATTCTTGGAGGCCAAAGAACCCCGTCACAGTGACCCAAATCATCACTGTTAGTTATTATATAGTAAATTAAATCATTACTGTTAAATTGTATGTATTGTCCAATTGTTTATTTGAATTCTTATTCCGGATTAGTTGGAGACATACACTAGGCTATATCAGCCCCACCAAAAATATTTTTCACCAGCCGCCACTGCTAATAGCACCAACTAACTATGACTGTATTTATATACAGCAGCAATCACCGTCGGAAAATAAAATTGATGAAAATTTGCAAAAACATTTATTGGAAAATAAGTTTCTGAAAGTGATTTTCTGTAGAATTACAAAATAAAATCTTTTTTACTGATGATAATTGTTTTTTGGTAAACCAACAAAATAATTTAATAGCTAGGTCTATTTTGCCCTGGAACTGAAAAAGCTAAACTAGTGAACTTAAACATGATATTCTCTGATGAAGTTAGAATGAAATTACTCACCTTGGCAAAAATGCAGCTGTCACTCAGCGTCCATGGCTTGCAGGTTTCCTCACACATGGGACACATGATGGTTGTGTTGGCCTCACAGATCTCCTTACTGAAGGGACAGTGAGTTTTAAAAAATACGTCAATAGATATGACTAACCTTTGCTAGCTCACACTGGGTATAATAAAGAAGTTAACAGGTATTTTTATGACATTTTAAGCTTGAACTGTGAACTGACCTCACTTGACTTGAATCCATGGTGAAGAACCCATAGAGGAAGACAAAAACACCAACGAGGGCTGCAGGGATTAACATGCCAGTGTACCAGCCCAGCCACGCAAAATATAGGCCAATTTTCTCTCCAAAGTAGCGTCTAGGAGTAACACAAAGGCAGAAAGTGATTAAAAAGTACTAATGTTCTCCACTGAGCCTTAATTGAACTTGGCAGTGTACTTTCAGAGCAGCCTTGTGGGAGTAGTTAGTTAGCTCTGAGATGGCAGCTTAATGAATTAAAGAAGCTGTCGAACTGAAAGGTCACTGTGATGCGAAACAAATCAATAAGTGTCTCATTCCCAAACCACAGCTGCCACAGTTTCTAAGATCACATGTGTCCCACTTACACCCCTGTAAAGCAAATCATTTGAGGTGCAATTAGAGGTCAGTGTTCACTACGAAGCCAGAAGAGCTGTTGAATCTTAGTCTCTTAGCTTTCAAACACCAGCATCCCATAACAATTTCCTCTATAAACTTGGATAATTCCAACCCTTCGGCACCTCTTGGGATCTCTGACGTCCTGGCTCTGACTCTCCAGCACTCTCGACTGAAGCTAATAAACGTTTTGAGAAATCTAACTCTTTGTCTGCCGCAAATACTGGGTCCAATCTTTCTGAGACAATTGGTATAGTACTATTATCATATTGCAGCATGGGATTCCTAACCTGACTCCGCCAGATGGATTTGCTCCGTATATCCATCTGGAAACCTTCCGTAGAAGTAATTTTGGGAAGGGGTGAAAATACTGGTTAGCTGATTGGCCTATGTTGGTGATAGACGGGCCAAATAAAACCAATCAGCTCAACGAAGCATATGACGTACTAACAGAGCGACGACGAAGAGGAGCCAATTGATAGATCAAACTCTTGCCGAAACCAGTCGGGAGAAGAGCAAAAACATCTTTTCCTCTGAGAAAAGCCTCCAGAGCAGTGTTTTGCTCTTCTTTCAGTGAAGAAATACTCTGTAATTCCCATAAAACTTGCTCGATAGCCACGCTAACGCTAGTTTCATCGGCTGAAGCCGCCATGTTCTTTAGACTGAACTGTCGCGCTTCTCGTTGCGTCACACCTCAACCCGCCTCAAAGCCAACGCTGATTGGACGTTCGTTTGGTGAACGGCTCCAAATTTTCTTTAACGGAGAGTCTCCAGACTGATCTGCGAGTGAAACCTTTAAAGCTCGCGAGATCAGGATGGTCTCACGAGGCTATGGGATTCCCCCCTCCCATTGCGGGACCATTTTTTCACCTGGATCTCCGCTCTTTTTGGCCCTCATGCCCCTCCGCTGTCGCACAAACTTGCTCCCCTTTCCTCACCGCCTCGGCCGTATCTAGAACCACAGCTAGTTCCTGATTGCATTTTGGTGTGGAATAACATAGTGCAGACTATGCTTCAATATTGGGCAAAACTATCTGCGACAATCTCACTGTGACTCACTGCTGCAGGAGGATAACCAGGCCTTTAGTGTGGAGTCTGTTGTATCTTATTCAGTTAAGTTCTGATTATGAAGATATTAATATATCTCATTTATCTCTTTCCTGTTCTAAATACCACATGCTGCTATATCTAACATAAACGCTGTTGATGGGGGCTAATTACATTTCTGCATTCAAGTCATTATTTAACTGAAGTATGAATTATGCACCTTTTTTAAATTAGAGATTACAAAAAGATTTTTTAAGTAGATCCTAAAATACCTTAAGAATCTGTGCTTCAAAGGTGATTACCTGATGAGGTCCAGAGGCTGGTATTTGTACCACATCCCCCAGCGCGCCCAGCGCTCATAAAGCAGATGCCTGTGGTTCTGGGCACCGTGTGTTTTAATTGGATGTCTGCTCTTGTAACTGCCCTGAGGAGACAAAACATTTTTTATTTAAAAATCTTCCAGTGTCCCATTTCACATGTGAAAATGATCATTATTATTTATTTTTTATCTCCTGCTCACTTTTTAAATGTTACATTTGATCTATTTATTTTTACGACGGAGTATTAGGGACAGGTTACATATTTTTTGGGATATTTTATTTTGAGAATAAATTTGTAACATTACTGAAATAATGTTGTAACATTAGGAGAATAAAGTTGTAATATTACGGGAATAAGTCAAAACATGAAAAAAAACAAAAAAAAACATTACGAGAATAAAGTTGTAATATTACAAGAATAAATTCGTAACATTACAAGAATAAATTTGTAATATTACGAGAATAAAGTCGGAACATTATGAGAATAAAGTTGAAACTTTACGAGACAAAAAAAAACATTACGAGCATAAAGTTGTAATATTACGAGAATAAAGTCGGAACTTTAAGAAACAAAACAAAAAAATTACAAGAATAAAGTTGTACTATTATGAGAATGAAAGTGTCACATTATGAGAATAAAGTTGTAATATTACGAAAATAAATTCGGAAAATTACGTTTATAAAGTTGTAATATTGCGAGAATAAAGTTGTAATATTACGAGAATAAAGTCGGAACTTTACAAAACAAACCAAAAAAATTATGAGAATAAAGTTGTAATATTACGAAAAAAAAAAAAAAATAACGTTTATAAAGTTGTAATATTGCGAGAATAAAGTTGTAATATTACGAGAATAAAGTTGGAACCTTACAAAAAAAAAAATTACGAGAAAAACCCCAAAACATTACGAGGATAAAGTTGTAATATTACGAGAAAAAATTTGTAACATTACGAGAATAAAGTAATAAAGTAATATTATGAGAATAAAGTCGGAACTTTACGAAAAAAAACAAAAACATTACGAGAATAAAGTTGTAATATTACGAGAATAAAGTCAGAACATTTTGAAAAAACAAAAAAACATTACGAGAATAAAGTCGGAAAAAATTTTGAGAATAGGTTGAAACTTTACGAGACAAAAAAAAAACATAATGAGCATAAAGTTGTAATATTAAGAGAATAAAGTGGGAACTTTACGAAACAAAACAAAACAATTACGAGAATAAAGTTGTAATATAACGAGGATAAAGTTGGAACATTGCAAAAAAAAAAAAAAAAAAAACATTACGAGGATAAAGTTGTAATATTACAAGAATAAATTTGTAACATTACGAGAATAAAGTTGGAACATTATGAGAATAAAGCTGAAACTTTACGAGACAAAAAAAAAAACATTACGGGCATAAAGTTAGAATATTACAAAAATAAAAAAACATTATGAGGATAAAGATGTAATATTACAAGAATAAATTCGTAACATTACGAGAATAAAGTTGTAATATTATGAGAATAAAGTCGGAAGAAATTATGAGAATAAAGTTGAAACTTTACGAGACAAAAAAAAACATAATGAGCATAAAGTTGTAATATTAAGAGAATAAAGTGGGAACTTTACGAAATAAAACAAAACAATTACGAGAATAAAGTTGTAATATAACGAGGATAAAGTTGGAACATTGCAAAAAAAAAAAAAAACACATTACGAGGATAAAGTTGTAATATTACAAGAATAAATTTGTAACATTACGAGAATAAAGTTGGAACATTATGAGAATAAAGCTGAAACTTTACGAGACAAAAAAAAAACATTACGGGCATAAAGTTAGAATATTACAAAAATAAAAAAACATTATGAGGATAAAGATGTAATATTACAAGAATAAATTCGTAACATTACGAGAATAAAGTTGTAATATTATGAGAATAAAGTCGGAAAAAATTATGAGAATAAAGTTGAAACTTTACGAGACAAAAAAAAACATAATGAGCATAAAGTTATAATATTAAGAGAATAAAGTGGGAACTTTACGAAACAAAACAAAAAAATTACGAGAATAAAGTTGTAATATTACGAGGATAAAGTTGGAACATTGCAAAAAAAAAAAAACATTACGAGGAGAAAGTCGGAACATTACGAAAAAACAAAATTACGAGAAAAACCCAAAAACATAATGAGAATAAAGTCGTAATATTACGAGAAAAAATTTGTAATATAACGAGGATAGAAGAAAGTAAATCTCTAGCCTGACCCTAATACTCCGGCTTATATTTTAGAGACCCTTATGTCTATGTCTATCCTGACACTTGAACCCGTCAAATTTTAATTTCAGATTAAAATCAGCTCACCTCATGTGGAGGAAATGCCGCCTCGTATGTGTTGTTGCCCAGTAAGCGGTTGATGCCTGCAGTAAAGTAAGAGTAAGCAAATGATTTCAAACACTCCCAGGAGAAAATACATTAAAAATTCAGCTCCACTCGTTAACAAAGACAGGCCGACATTTTATTTCCCTAAAAGGAGTTATAGCAATTTACAACATTATAAAGCTAAAAATCTAAATTAGAGCGAGTGTAAGGTGGTGCTTCCTCCTTGTGGCACTTTCCTTGCTTCAGTTAACTGCAGTGATTGCAAAGTCTAGTGTCAATAAATTCACAGCACTGCCTGCTATTCCTCTACTGGCTGAAAACAGACAAAGAGTGCATTTATTTCTCTAGGTGTTCTCTTCCGACAAAAAAAAAGAAAAAGCTGACAGTTGGGGCAACATGAGGGAAGCTAAAAGAGATTTTCCACTTCTAAAGCCAAACTGTTTTGACTGGAAAAATCTAAATCTAGATAAGTCACTATTTCTTAAATTAAGTGCATTTGTTCTTGGATGGAGGAGGTAAAAGAGACGTTTTGCCAATGGAACAAGACAATTTACTGTTAAAATAAGAAAACACAATTGCATTGTCTTATTTCAAGTGCATATTATCTAATTATCTAATTTTAAGAGTAAAAATACTCATTTCATTGGCAAACTATCTCATTTACCTACTCAAATAAGGGGAAATACACTTAATTTAAGACATTTTTACTTATTTGTAGATCGTTTTTCCAGTGTATGTGTGTGTGTGTGTATAAATATATACACTGCAAAAAATGGAAATCTAAATAAGTCATTTTTGCTCAAATTAAGTGCATTTTTTCTTGAATTAAGGAGGTAAAATAGACATCTTGCCAATGGAGCAAGACCATATACACTTAAAATAAGAAAACACAATTGTGTTGTCTTATTTCAAGTATATTTTATCCAATTATCTTATTCTAAGAGTAAATATTCTCATTCCATTGGCAAAATGTCTCATTTAACTACTTAAATTAAGGTTAAAAAAACTTAATTGAAGAAATTTTTTCTTATTTCTAGATCGTTTTCCTAATGTATACACACACATATATTGGCTTAAAATTAATAAAGAGAATATATTAAATATGAATATAATGTTGGCCATGAATTTTCAAACCGTTGGGATTCTTGTTTAGTATTTGTGGAACCAAATAAAGGGTAGATGATTTTTTTTTATTACCCATCTTTGATTTTCCGTCTTCATACTTGGTGCGCTGCAGGACATGATGAACTATTCTGCTTCTGGTGGAATTTGAGAAGAATGTCTCTCTATTGTTGATGGTGAAACTGAGAAGAAAACAAAGTCACGCTCCTTTCGTGAGGCATCATGCAGCAGGGCATCGTCCCGTCAAAGGCGTAAGGCGAGATGAGTCAATAATCAGTGGGGGGGGGGGGGTTACTTCACTTTAACACAATTCATGATGTCAAGTGTGTGCTCAGTACTGCATCAATATTCCACTTAGCAAAATATACAAGCATAATAATGGAAAGCTGGAAATGCTTTCCTGAGAAACGATGATCGCTTTCATCAGAAAGAAGCTTTTAACATAAAATACCACAAACAAATGAGTAAGAAATTATTTAATGGGCAGCTGCTGCTGGTTTTGATGTCTTATTTATGATGAACTGGTCTTGCCCTGGTTTCTGGGCTAAGAGCTGAAACTATTAAAAAATAAAAGCACAGATTGCGTCTCTCGCTTTCTAAATTCAGAAAGAAGAGATCTGAGAAGAATCTGTGAATATTTTGCAGATTTACATCTAGGCTGCTGATATTGTGTGAAACTGTGATCATGCTGGTGGGTTTTAGTTTAGGGCACGCAGAGCGCTCTTACTGATGCATCCGTGCCCGGCTGAAAGGAGCCGTGTAGCAGTCCGTCTCCTCCAGGTCGGGAAGGGCCTCTTTGTCCAGTTTCATGGGATTTCTGGGAAGCCAGCTTTTCATCTGCTGACACCTCAGATGAAACCTGCTGCACAAGCGCATTGAGAAAACAGGATTAATGGGACAGATTATCAGGCAGATTGTTTACCTCGCTATGGGATGATGGCAGCTAACCTTCAGCACGCCACCTTGATGGCTCCACCCCCACCACAAAACACCTTTTATTCCACATTTGTAGGGTCAACCTGCTGCTTACTTATTTTCTACTTAAATCTTTTTAGAATAGAACAGAAAATCCCTTTGTTGTCGCACAATGGGGAAATTGTGGTGTTACAGCAGCAAAAGATTACAGCAGAAGCGGTCACACAAATGTGGACCTTAAAACAGCTTACAGCAACTCTTGGAATCAATCATTTCAGAATTAAAGAAAATAAAACAATGGTTTGACATAAACAGGTTATCAATAAATTTAAGTAAAACTACATTCATGGTATTCGGAAATTGTAAGTCTGAGCATCAAGCACAAATACAGATAGAGGGGGTTAACATAGAAAGAGTACATGAAAATAAATTCCTTGGAGTGATCATAGATGACAAGATTAGCTGGAAGCCTCTTATAAAACACATCAAAACCAAACTGTCCAGAAGTATTTCAGAACATTCTGGATTCCAAAGCACTTCACATCCTATACTGCTCACTACTGTTACCTTATTTAAATTACTGTGTAGAGGTTTGAGGAAACACTTATCAACACTCCCTACAGCCACTAGTCATAATGCAAAAAAGAGCAATAAGAATCATTCACAACGCCGGATTTCGGGATCATACAAACGCATTATTTCTAAAATCTAAATTGCTAAAATACCAGGATTTTAATAGAATACCAAATTGCAGTATTCATGTTCAAAGTACGACATAGATGTTCTCTGAAAGGGAGGGAGGGTACGATTTAAGGGGAAGGGGAAATTTTAAGACTAATAGATGTAGAACAACAAGAAAAAGATTATGTTTATCAATTTGTGGAGTTAAATTGTGGAACAAACTAAATGAGAACCTAAAGCAATGCCCAAACATATTCCTTTTCAGAAAAATGTACAAAGAAATGATTTACAAAAGGTATAGAGAAGCATTGTAGAAGGTTTTGTTTGTGTTTTTTGTTTTGTTAATTTGTATATATGTATGAAGGTATATGTGTATACATATTTGTGTATGTATATGTGTAGGTAGGTATGGATTTATTTGGATATATATAGCAACATAATTATAAATATTGTAAATTAAAGAAAAACAAGAATTAAAGGGGTAGGAGTACATAAGTTTTTCTTCTTCCTACTCGTTTTCACACATGTAATGTGTAAGAAGGGTACCTTGTTTGTTGTTTTTCTCTCCAATGTTTTTAAACATTGTTTTACTCTTGCATGTTCGAAATAAAGAATAAAAAAATAAAAAAAAGTGTATAAAATAACAGAATTAGTGGCAGAGTTAAAATAAAAAAGCAAATAAAATACTGTAGAGAACACTATTTTCACAACATAAATACTGTGCATCTGGAGAAACAATAATAAACAGCTGCTGGCATTTTTTCAGTAGTGGATAAAGAAAACAGCAGCAGCATTTTATTTAACTGACTGAGGTAGAGACTGAGCTAAAATCAGCATGAATAGAAGAACTGATTGAGGTTGTTGGGAACAGTGAGGGTTTTTACTTGAACTTCTAGTAATTCAACATCATTAACCAAAATTTTTAAAAATATGGTACTTTATTCAGTGTATAGTATTGTGTTAACATAACAGCTACAGCTATGTAACTGTTATGTTAACACAGCTGGGGAACTGATGTGTCGGTTTGGCCTGTTGCAAGAAAAACTCCCTTATTAACCTCTAGTTACTGTTATTATCCACTTGAAAATAAACAAATTGTTCACCTGCCTATCTATACTGTGTGGATACCCAGTATTAATAGGCAGAATGCTCTTACCTTGTATTTCCTATGAGTTTATTGGAAAATAAGGGCTTCTTACTATTATGCTAATATCTATAAGTCATTTAGGCAGACACCCTGTCTACTTTTAAGGCTAGGCTTAAAATTTTCCTTTTTGATAAAGCTTCTAGTTAGAGTGGCTCAGGTTATCCTGAGCTATCTCTATAGTTCTGCTGCTATAGGCTTAGACTGCTGGAGGACATAGGGACCCCTTTTTCAACATTCTGCTTCATTCTATCTCTATTCTCCCACTCTGCAGAATCTATTAGTTCAATCTCTAACGTTCTGCTCTCTCTGCTTTTCCTCAGAGTAGCTTCATCTGGTCTGTTCCTGTTTGGCTGTGACTCCATCCTGGAGAGAAATATCAGCTGTGCTGCTGCCATCAACACCTTTGTTCCAGTGTAGTCCTGTTTCTCTGACTGTGACTAACTGGATGTGCTCTCTTCATCCTCTGACATGGGAGCTGGCTCGGAGCTCGTCTGCCTGCACTGGAAAAAATTGAAATCTAGAATAGTAATTTTTTCTTAAAATAAGTGCATTTGTTCTTGGACTGAGGAGGTAAATGAGACATTTTGCCAATGGAACATGATAATTTACGCTTAAAATAAGAAAACACAACTGCATTGTCTTATTTTAAGTGCATTTTATCTAATTATCTCATTTACCTTCTCAAATTAAGGGTAAATACACTTAATTTAAGACATTTTTACTTATTTCTAGATCATTTTCCAGTGTGGCTGTGTGTTTTCTGGATAGGGCCGCCTTTTACAGTTGCCTTTTTTCTCTGACTGTGACTAACTGGATGTGCTCTCTTCATCCTCTGACATAGGGTTAGGGTGAGCTGGTTGACAGTTGCCTTTTGTATCTATGCTTCTTTTTCTATGTCTGCTTCTGTCTCCTTGAACCCCAGTGGGCCTCAGCAGATGGCCGCTCACACTGAGCCTGGTTCTACTGGAGGTTTCTTCCTGTTCAAAGGGAGTTTTTCCTCTCCACTGTCGCTACAAGCATGCTTAGTGTGAGGGATTGCTGAAGAGTCAATGAGTCGATGCAATCAGCTGGTTTTCCTTAGATAGAAAACTTTGAATCAATCTGACTGGATGATCTGGTGAACTGGAAAGTGACCTGAGATGACATGATGTGAATTGGAGCTATAGAAATACACTGAATAGAATTGTGGGACAACAATCCTGGAAATCCATACAACCAGAAAAAGCCAAGATCCCATTATTGCGCTACTCTCAAAACGCTTAAAGCAATGAAATGTTTTTTTACTTAGTAGGTTTCTGTTCTTTAAATAAATTTGAAAGCTTGTTAATGCATTTTACATAACAGTTACATAAAAAATGCATGATATAGGGAAATAAGAAAATAGCCACAAACTGTTTAATGAAACGTTCGGGCTGGATTGCAGCAATTAAAGTGGTGTTGAGGACGTCTATATGCCTGTGCAAATTCTCAGTCATCTGGGTCATGGCAACTAGAAAAGTGTAACAAAAGCTTTGACAAGGACTCCTGGAAAAGTGTTCAAACATGGTCAGGAACAACTGAGTAAAAGTCTGCAATAAACCTGTTTTGTGGAACAGCAGAATAAAGCTTAGGATGTGCACAGAAATGTGCAGATGTCTTATCACTACTGTGAATCTGCATCACAGCCTGCTGAGAAGATCCCCAGTTAATTGGGACAGAATCTAGGCAACAGTGTTTGCAGCTTTATAAAAAATACATTAAGAAAAACATTCTAGTTGAAGGCAGTCTACATTAGCATCCATTCAAAATGGTCCTTCCCGGTCAAACACCAGCCGAACGGCAGCAGACTCCCCTTCAGCTCCCAGCAAATTTGTCTCTAACTTGCAGCCCCTGAAGTGACCCCCTCCTTCCCCTGGACGTGCATATTTTCTTACCCTGACTCCACCCTTTCAATGAATAACAGGGAGATGGCGCTTCTATTTAGATCTTAATGTCCACAAATCATGACAGAAAAAATATTTTAAAACAAAGATTGATCTTTAAAAAAGAATTGTAGGTGACCAGCCAAGGAAAGTAGGGACATTTTGAATGGCTACCACTGTATACATCTGAAAGTAAACCAAAGCTGTATTTTTTCATATATTTTTTTATTGGCTCTTTTTGCAGATATAGCAGAACAGTGGTTTTCTGCATGAGCGTCTTGCTTATCAGTCATGGACCCACTTATCCTAGTTAGCTATTAGCTACATTAATTAAAATATCTGATAAATGGATTCCTTGAATTTTATGCCTTTAGTGTTTTAATATGTTTTATGTGAAACCTTTTACCTTAGTCTGGATTTAATTTGGGCCAAATAACCTAGAGAGCATTTTTCTCTAATATAGTAACAGCATCCTCTAATATCAGCATCCAGTTACTTATTGCCATGGGAACCAGCAGATCCCAAATCAAAACACAAATCTGGCTCACACTGAAACAGATGGGAATTCAAAGATATCTGCAAATGTTAATAACTCTTATGAAGCTTGCTTGTCAAATCAAAATAGTCTTTTAAAAAAGTACATTTATGCAGATCATAATTTTATAAAAGTCCACAAGATTTTATTCAACTCAACTCAACTTTATTGTCAAATGTGCTACATGGTAAACATACAACACAGATGAAATTTCATTCCTCTCAACCCCACGGTGCATTATAAAATATAATGAACCATGGCATAAAAAAATAAAAAATAAAAAAATAGAAATAAAAACCTAAGATATAAAAATAAATATAGGTATCTGCTCGGATAACTAAAAATCTAACAACGAACTAGTTTAAATACTAAAGAAGATTAGAAATGTGCAGATGGGAAGTATAACGGTAAATTTTGTATACAAATTAAATGTCAAATATTAAAATGTAACAAAACAATAACAAATATTAAATGTCTTTTATGGTCTACTACAATATTTTGATCTTAAACGTTAGACGGATATACATATAGAGGTGTCCAAATTGTTAATGTTTATAAATCAAGTAGAAGTATAAATCCTATTTAAAGATCAATTTAAGCTTTTAACTCAAGTAAAAGTGTAAAAGTACAATATTTTTTTTTATAATTCTGGATGATAACTTCCTTAGACCTAATTTTCTTAG